AGTTTTGCCAGTGCTCACTTTAGGATCTGATTGGCTTTCTCTATCTTTCCAGGAGACTGAGGTCACTAGGTGGAATGAAGATGGTACATTATTCCTAAAGCCTCTACCACTTTGAGTTATTTGAGAGGTAAAAGAAGTCCCATTGTCCCTCTGGAGAGACTGGGGTCATCCAAATCGGGGGATGATTTCTTTAAGAAGCACCTTGACTATCTCCATAGCCTTTTCTGAATGAGTAGGAAGGGCTTCAATTCAGCTTGTAGAGGTGTCAATTAGGACCAGTATATGTTTAAACTTCCACATACTGGCATGTGGGTAAAGTCTAATGCCAGTCTTGCCCAGGTTATGTCCTCCTCTGTACAGGTTCTCATAAAGGAGGTGCTTTGGGCTTGCCTGGGTTTTTATAGGCACAGAGTGGGCAAGTTTTGCAGGTCTGTCTGTCTAGAGGTCTCTGATAATCCTAGTCCTGTGAAAACTTGAGTGACCATTTCCAATGTAGTATCTCTTCCCAAGTGGAAAAAATCATCAAGTGTTTTTATAGCCTTCCACTGTGTTCCTTGAAGAAAGACCAATTTGTTTCTTAAATACCACGAGAGCCCCCTTTAAATCACCCCTTGTCTTAAGGCCCATTTATCTCTTGGGGGGTATAGACTGGTTTTAATAATTCCTTAGGACATAAACTCAGGGTCTTTGACAGCCTCATATAAAGGCTTTGCCATTAGTCCAAAATTAATAGCAAGATCCTACAAAAGCCAGTCATTCCCAAGAAGGAATGAAGCTGTTGTTTGGTGGGAGGAGTCCCCAAAAAATAGCCTGGATAATGTCTCTGATGAGCTGCCATTCCCCAGGTGTAAGACTATGTCCCAGATATTGAACTTTTTGGAGGGATATCTGAACCTTTTCTTTGGAGACTTTATATCCCTTATTACTAGAAAGTTGAGAATTTATACAGTATTATAGTTGGATAACTCCTGAGTTAAGCTGCAAACTAGAATATAGTCTACAGACTGTAAGATGGTTCCCTTTTAAACTTTAGATTTCTTGAGTCTTTCTCTAGTGCTTGAGCAAAAAAGGTGAAGATTGTCTCTAAACCCCTGTGGAAGAACTGCCCAATTGTATTGCTGCTTTTCTCTTGAAATAGGACTTTTTCATTGAAAGGCAAACAAATTGGGAGTCTGGATGTAGGGGAATGGGAAAAAAAATGCCTCTTTTAAATCTAAGAGTGAGAACCAAGTAGTGTCCCCTAGAACTTGGGAGAGAATTATATATGGATCTTCCACTAGAGGATAGATTGGAATGACAACCTCATTAATGGGGCAGAGGTCTTGTACTATCTTATATTTTTCTGAGGGCTTTACTACATGGAAATTGGGAATATTCCAAGGGGACTGACAAGTCTTTACAAGGCCATATTTGAGAACCCTGTGTATGAAGTGGTTTCCAGGTTCTTTCCAACTTGATCAAAGAATTAAACAAAACAAGCAAAAATGGCCACAAAGTTTCACATTATTTGATGTAGGAAAAATTAAAAGTGAAGGGCAAAGGAGAACCTGGCTCTGCAGAGTGAACTTGGGCCAAGTAAAAGAGAGGAAAAATAAAAATATAAATATAAAACAAAAGTACACCCTGGGTACAGAACAGGCTGCCATGAAGAGGCATGATATCAAGCTCTTTATGGCATCGTTGTCCTTTTATTTATTCCACACATCATGGGTTCCTGAGAGGAGTCCACATACATGCTCCTGAGAATTATTTGGCGCGTGTGTCCTGGTGTGTGGTCACACTTGCTCCCTCAGCCAGCTTTGCCATGCCCTGCCTTCCTGCCTAAATACAACCTGTGAACTAACCCAGATTTTGGAGTATTAACCTGTGTAAGCCAAGTAAGCATTCTGAATTTATAATTTTTAGGAGATTATTATTGCTTACCTTTCGGTTTGGTTACAAGGGTCAACAATGATAAATCATCTGAAAATATTTATAATTATAGCACATTTATTTATTTAACATCACTTGAAATGTGCTATGCTAGGTGTTATATTTGCCTTGAAGGGTGCATTAGTCCCTGTACCATGGGGCTAAGTACATCCAGTGTGATGCTAGTATACACCAGTTGTTGTGCAGCACATAGGAAAACAGTCTTATCATTTCTCTCATATCCTTACTCTTCCAACTCCAGAGGATGACCAGTAAGCCATCAAGCGTTTTTCCAGGTTGTTCTAATTTTCTGAGGACAGTGTGTTTTATTACCTAGTCTTCAACTTTGTAAACCCCATCACTTGATTTTGTCAGTTTATCCAGTGTTGAGGAGGTCTTCTGATTAAATTCACATGAGACCAAGTTGTTAAATCTAGCGCCAGCTTTTAAAATACACAATAGGGTAGATATACTTTTCAGGTAGAGCTTGCTGTCAAGGGTAGCCATTTTCTGGCATTTGAACATTTGGAAACTAAATTCAAAATACATAAATTACTTAGACATGATGAAATGATAACAGAGAGTTGGGTAGGAGGTATTTATTATAGACTAGTAGTGCTAATTAATTTCCTAATGTTTTACTCTTCAGTAGTTTTTTTTTTTTTTTAATTAGAGAGCTTACATATAATCACTTGTAAGTAAATACAACTAGAGCTTCTTCCCTCCTACTGGCAGCCTTTGAAGTGTCCCTGGCCTTTGAAGCTGATATGGTTTGAAAATCATGGCTCCAGCTGTGGAAAAGAACATTATTAAATGTCCCTCAACTTTAATGAAAGTGATTTCGGAAGTACTCTGAATGTTTGAAATTTAATTTCAGCTCTGGAATAAACACTGTCCTGTGACTGTGCTTTCCCATCCCATGACTTTTAGTTACACATTTTCCAGACATTTAAACCATTGATAAGACTTTAGTTTTATGTCACACTCAAGTATTTTGTTTGAATTTTTAAGCCTGCCTGCCTCCCTCCCTCCCTCTCTCTCCCCCATGCCTTTCTTCCCCCCTCCCCACTCTCTTTTTTTCTCTCTTCCTCCCCCTCCCTCCTCCCTCTCTCCGACAGGAGATTGTACCAAGGACCTTTGCACCTTTGAGCTACATTCCAAACTCTTTAAATCTTTACTTCTATTTGAGACAGGGTCTTACTAAATTGCCCAGGTTGATACTCATGCCTGAGCCTTCCACAGTGCTGGGATTACAATGGTACCTTGTTCACAAACACTTGTTTGCAAACTGTTTGGTAAACAGAAGCTTTTGGCAAAATTTTGTTTTTATTTGCAAACTCTGCATGTGTGTTTTCTTGCATTGCTCACACATGACTCAAAGTTCCTGTAGGTGTTTGGTGTAGCTCAAGTTACCTGCCCTAGATTAAAAGAAGATTTAGTTAGTGGGTTTTCTGAGTTCTTATTTATGAATTTATTAAGAGCTGTTTATAGAAAAAAGATTAAACTTTATCATGTTTTGTAGATTTTTCCCCTATTCCCAACTAAACTGTTCCTTTAAATTAATGCTTTTGAAATAAAAATTTCTTTCCTATTCAGAGATTAAAGAAATAGACTATTGTATTTTTAAAAATCATTTACAAACATTTAAATGTTTAAAACAGTTTAAGTATGAAATAGGAACTGATTGATGACCCACATTTGGACGACTGCTTGTCCCACCACCATTTATTGAACGGCTTATCCTGATGTGAAATGTTAGATTGATCATAAACTAAGTATGTGCTTTATGTATGTGTGTGTGTGTGTGTTTGTATATATACTATTTTTCATGACCTCATACTTCTAGCCTAACCACAAGAGTGTGTATACAGATTTGACAGATCAGTTACATTTGTTTATTCATTTGACAAACATTAAAGTCCTTTTATGTACAGCTGTGTAGACTACAAAAGGATAAGGCATCTAGACTCATTCATTTCAGTGTAAAATGAGGTTAGATCTGTTTAGTTACAGGTGTGGGGGAGTCTTGAAATTTTGGCTTATTTATTTTTATTTTTTTATTTTTTGGTACTGGGGATTGAACTTGGGACCTTGCGCTTCCGAGGCAGACGGCAGAACCACTGAGCTAAATCCCCGGCCCAAAAATTTTGGCTCTATACTTTTAGGGTTTTTTGTTTTTTGGTTTTATTTTAGCTCATCTTAGACTATATCTCAGACTCCTACTTTAAATTTGGGGCCTTTTCTTCTGAGGGTTTTGTATTGAGGATTATTGTAGGCTGTCTTTCACATAGCAGTATACAGCTGTGCCAGTAGGTTGAAAGAAAGACTTGATTGGAGAGGTAGACAGATGCTATTTGTCTGTGTATTTATAGTATTAAATGTTTAAGAGACCTCAGAAGAACTGACAATCTTGTATAGATGTATTTTTTTCCATTAAGTTTATTGGTACATTTTAGGTATACAATATAGTTATATTCATCATTCCGATCTTGTAACTTTACATGATGTATCTTGGTTCTTGTTTTTTCCCCATTCTGCTGCCCTCCCTTTACCCTCTTCACCCTTCTCTATTTATAAAAACTTTGTTTCCATTTTTTCCTTTTCTCATATTTTTTCTTTTCTCTTCTTTACCCTCCCCACTTCCTCTGTTCCTTTAGACCTTTTCTTCCTATTTCACACTCTCAGTTACAACATTTGAACCTTATTTACACTTCTAGTTTTCACACCAGAGAAACTATTTTAAATTTTGGGATAATTTTGTTTTACAGAAAAATTGCACAGATAATATTGATTTCACTTACCTCCTACCTGGCTTTAGTTTTTCCTAATACTAGGATTTTATGTTACCATCACACCTTCATGTACTAAGTAACATAGCCCTCAAAAATTTCATTTAGCTAATATCATACTTCTTATTGGTGGTAAAGCCAAACTAAAGATCCAGTAGGCAGCCTGGGTCTTTTAGTTGATTACATTTTAGCTATTCTTTTCTTTTTTTTTTCCACTGAGTTCTTGTGCATATACTGAGAGAACTATCTAGTTCCTGGTCAATATAATCTTCTAATTTATACAATAATTTTTAAATCTAGGCTTCCTCCAGTTCTTCAACACCAACAGGAGCTAGGAGCAGAACATCTTCATTTACAGAGCAATTTGATGAAGTTATTCCCAATAGAGAGGTAAGTTTGAAATTTCTTTTATAAGATGCTTCTCACAAGAAGGTAACCTAAAATATAACTCTACTGTTGATAACAAAAATGGGAAAATATTTTGACAGGTTAAATATTTAATTCCTCAATATTTTTATTGTAGTACAGTAACATAGTATTTTTTTCTTTGCAAGCAAAACTTATACTCATGTAAAGTTTTTCTTTGAGAACCTTAATTTGAGAGAATAATATATTCTATATTTAATATATGAAGGTTACAGAATAATTTGATAACAGTTCATTTGACAGTCTCATATGGCAAAAACATGTTGTTTTCAAGCTGTAGAGTTGAAGATGGAAAAGTGACTTGACTGATTTTATGTAGCTAGCAGCTGGTACCAAAACTCATCTTTCTTCAGTATTTTTTTCTTTCTATAAAGTGTAACAAAGAGGATAATATGTAAATATAAATCAGTGAATTATTGTGCATTGATTCTCCATGTTACCACCACGTAGGTAAAGAAAAGGAACACTACTAGCACTTGTGCTTCCTTCCCCTGAAAGATTACAGCCATCCTGAATTTTTTATATTTGGTTCCTTTCTTTTCTTTATTGTTTTGCTTTCTAAATGTAAACATTACAGTTAAACATTTGATTTGTCTCCAGTTTATGCTACTGTGAACATTACTGTGCATTTCTTTTGGTACACATACACCTACCTGTGTTTCTGTTTGCATAGACTTTGGAATAGAATCATTAACTCAAAGGACATAACTAATTTCAAGATTTTAGAAGATAATGACAATTGTTTTCCTGAATAGTTGTAGAAATTTTTCTAGCGATGTGTAATGGAGCACACATGTAATACCAGCACCCTGGGAGGCTGAATCAGGAGGATTAAAAGTTCCAGTCCACCATGCACACCTTGGACCCTGTTTCAAAGTTCAAAAAAAAAAAGACTGGGATGTAGCTCAATGCAAAAACCCCTACTTCAATGCCCAGTATGACAGAAAGAAAATTTACTTTCCCGCTAGGAATTCATGAAAGTTATTATCTCTCTATACTCCTCTTAGTCTTTAATTTTATCTATTTTGATAAGTGTATAGTCTTTTGTTACAGTTTTAATTTGTGTTTCTCTTATGACTTAGATTGATTTTTTTTTTTAATGTTCTTTGGCCATTTGATCTATTCTTTTATGAACTTCTTAAATTTTCTGCCCATTTTTCTGTTGGATTGTCTTTTTCATACTGCTCAGTAGGTTTTTGTTTGTTTCTTTGTTTTTTGATTCGTATATCTCTCTCTCTTTCTTCCTTTGGTGGTGCTGGCAATTGAACTTAGTACTTTGTAAGTACTAACCACATACTTTATAGATTCATTTGGAGAAATTCCATATTTTACAAATCAAATTTTATAACTTTGTAGTATTACAAATAATGCTATCACTGACCTACACCCCCAGCACCTAGGAGTCCTTTTTTATGGAGGGTAGATAGGAGTTCTTTATCAAATAGATGTTTTGTACAGAGCTGCTTCCACTCTGTGGCTTGTATTACTTTTAATATTGTCTATGATGAATAGAAGCTCTTAGTTTTACTATATTCTCCAGTTCCTCAATATTTAATTTGATGACTAATTTTTGTTAAAGAATTTTTTTCTTACTGGAAAGTATTTTCCTGTATTGTTTTACTTTAACATTTATTCTGTACTCTACTTTGGAAATAATTTTTTACTTTGTTGTGAGATAGGGATTAAATTTTATCTCCCAAAATATGTCAATTCAGTTCCATCTTTTCTTTACTGCTTTTGGGATTTTTGTTTGGTTTTGATTTGTGTGTGTGTGCGTGTGTGTGTGTTTCCCTCAGTGCTAGGGATTGATCTTATATACGACGGGCCAGTATTCTACCACAGAGCTATGTTCCAAACTCCTGCTCTATTTTTTTTTTCCAGAAACTGTGTGCGTATTTGATTGGCTTTGTTTCTGTGCCCTCTATTCTGTTCCATGGTGTTGTCTTTGATTCACTATCACAGTCTCTCAATAACTATAGATACATATTCCTGCCCTCAGTAGTAGAGCAGGTCCTCTCATCCTCTTCTTGAATATCTTGATTATTTTTACTCCTTTCCTTATAATTCCATATAAAATTTTGAGTCAGTTAAGTTTCACAAAAACAAACTCAGAATAAAGCATGAACAAAACTTGTAAGAATCATGATTGAGATTGCATTGTTGTTTGTTGGTTTTGTTTGTTGTCTTGGTGTGTTTCCTGGCTTCCCCACTGCTTAGTCAGGAATGTGCAGCATTACCAAGTGCAATGGTTCTATAGATTAGTTTGAAGAATGTCAAAATTTGTGACTTTCAGTATTAACAAATAGTGCTTTAGTGAGCTTTGTGTATATACATTTATAATGTTATTCTTTAAAACATTTTTTTGGCAGTACTGGCAATTGAACCCAGAGCCTACACACTGAGTTACATCTGTACCCTTTTTTTATTTTGAGACAAGGTCTTACTAAGTCACTGCATTGCTCATCTGGGTTTAAACTTGTAATCCTCCTGACTGGGCCTACCATTAGGTATAGGAAGGTGCTACCATGCTTGGCTAATGCTATTATTCTGTAGGATACAGTCTAGGAATGGGATTACTAGGTCATAGAATGTATACACATTTAAAAATTTGGAAGACACTTCTAATTGCCCTGAGAAAAGTTTACTTTAAAATGATTTTTTATAAAGCTTTTCTTAATAGATATGGATGCTGTAATAAAATTAAAATACCGTATGTGTGTTAGTTTTCTGTGGCTGTAACATATGCCTGAAATAATCAATTTATAAAGAGAAAAGATTTATTTTGACTCATAATTTTGAGAGTTTCAGTTCATGAGTTTATTAGCCCAGTTACTTTTGGGCCTATAGTGAGATAGCGCATCATGCCAGGCAGCTCATAGAGGAGCAAAACCCTTTACCCCATGGCTACAACATGATAAAGAGGAAAAGGAAGGGGTTGGGATCCTTCTTTTTCCTCTAACGGCATTTCCTCATTGACCAGAATACCTTCCACTAGGTCCTGTCTCTTAAATTTTCCACTACCTCCCAATAATACAAACTGGAAATAAGCTTTTAACAATGCCTGGGCCTTTGGGAGTTATCTATAATCCAAACTACAGCAGTAGAGTTTTTGCTTTCAAGATTGATGACATATTCACTGTATTCTTGGTGCATATATTTAAATGATGTAACAAAGTTGTGTGACAGTATAGAGTACATGAGTACTATCTTTGACATCTTATTTTTCTGTGCTTTATTTGAAATATTAATTTTTTTAAGTTTATGGTTTTTTGTTGAACTTAGTTTATACATGTAACCAATTTGAATGAAAGCTGCAGGACTGAATAGTTCTTCTACAATATGTGTTAATGCATCATTCCTATACTCAATATATTGATTAATATTATGGTATATTGGTTTGTATACAGTACAGTTCAAACCCTGAAAATTATTTGATTGTTATTATTGCTTATCTCGATGCTTTAAAATGTTTAATTGACTATATCTGTACAAAATGTTTTCTGAAAGTGACAGTTTGTTGTTAAGACTGTCAGAAACTGTTGGGGAGAGAATAGTTTTTGGTGTCATCTGAGTGAGCCTGGATTTACATCCTGGCTTTGCTGCTTGTAGGCCGAAGAGTCAATGAAAAAAGCTTCAGGTTTTCTCATTTTAAAATGGGAACAGTAACATGTTTCTTGCAGCCAGGGTGGGCTTCAACTTTTACCCACAATATAGCATGTAAATCTCTAGCATGGTGACTTGCTCATTATAGGTGCTTACTAAATAATAATTGGAGCAGCCTGCTTCACTTACTCTTGTCTGTATTAGGGAGAGAACTAAGATTGGGCCATGTAGAGTAGGGTATTGGGGATGTTCTCTCTGTCTCTTTGCCTATTGAATGTAAAGGAAGGATGTTTTCACTATCCTACTTTCTTTTTTTTTTTTATGATTCAAAGACTATCCTACTTTCTGCTTTGCTATCTTTCTGATAATTTTTCATGCATTAGGGGCCAAGCTAGGTATGTCATTATTATACAGGGAACTCGTCTGTTAAAACTTTTGTATTGCTTTAATTAATTTTGTTGTTGTTTTTTTAAGAGAGGGCTTGGAACTCATGTTGATCTTTCTATCTTAGTCTCCTGCATGCTGGGATAGAGGTGTGTGCCACTATGGCTAAGTGTATTGTTTTTAAATTAAATTCCAGAACTTGTTTTTTTTTTTTATAAACTTTTTTTTTGCGAGTGGGCTGAAGAATGAAGTATAGAAACAATGCTAGGTAATTGGTGAATTATTTTCTGTTTAGTGAGTGTTGTTTATATATACTGTAATCATTTTAGCTTCCTTGCATGTAAAGAGAATAGTCTAGAGTAATGGAAGGACTACGGGAGTGCTTCCTTTACCTTATTTATGACTTTAGGCAACTTCCTTAATTTCTCATAACTTCAGCTTTAAATTTTATCTTTAAAATTTTAGCGATATTAATATCTACTTTTACAGAGCTCTTATTTAGAGCAGGTGAATTCTGAAGTATGAAAATACTCATAATTTGTGAATCATGTACAAAAGATGGTTATTGTACAGAAAAGGCTATGTGTGGGAAGGGCTTTTTGTTGTATTTATCTAAAGTTTTGTGTGAAGAGAATATTGTAAGAGAAAAAAATAATGCAACATCAGGGTGCTTTTGGCTCAATAATCATAGCCCAAATGATTTTACAGACTTTAAGAATGGAATCAGTTTTCTTTTTCATTCTTTCTGATCTTCGTTGGTTAGTGAAACTAAAAGATACACCTGTTAAATTGCCTTTTGGTATATATTCAGTTCTTGTATTTTTCTTTTGATTTAATAATAGGACACGTGTTACATTAAGAGGCATCCTAATATTAAATCAACCTTTCATTCCTTAAGTCATCAGAATATATTATTAATGTACTGTTGTACTTACTTTGATGATTTATTTACATTTCTATTATAAATCGAATTGTTT